TTTCTATTTTAATTGATATCTTAGCGAGAAAAAAATTGGAAAAAATAAAATAAGAACGTTTATTTACGCAAGTTTTACAAGTATCTTAAAAATGAAGACAATAAAATTTTGAATAAACGAAATAATGAAAGATTTCTAAATATTTTTTTAACGATATATAGTAATATATAATTTTCTACAGTGTATATATATTTGTACTTTTTCAAATATATTTTAAATATTTTCAATTTTTGTAATAAACTGTACTACTATTATATTATATTATTAATTTTTATCTAAATCATATTCATCGATCACCAATTATTAATTTACGATCAATCATTATTTTCTTCACCTATAATTATATCATACTTATTAAACTATTAAATATTCTTAAATTAGTCAAATTTATACAAAACCGCTAATCAAATTATCCAAACAAATAATACAATATTTTTATATTGAATACAACATTTAAAAATGCGAATTGCTAATAGACAAGGTAAGCAATTATATAAATTTACAAGATAAGTTCTCTAATTTTTACATTATTATCGTGAATTCCTATCTGAATATACGATCATTAAAGAGCAAGGTAAACGAGAATTTTGCATAAGATATTAAACAGATATCGCGAGTAATAAGCACTTTTATACTTTGATGACAGAACAGAAAATCAAGACAGTCTGTCGAACGAAACAGCGTAAAGTCTATTCGATTATGCATGCTGCGTAAAAGAGATGATAACGATATAACGTTAAGACATTTTCCTTGATCCGATTAAAATGGCGAATATCCTTCGAAAATCCAACGTATGGCCGATGAATATTCATTCGAATGCCTATTCAAATAACCACGTATGTAAATGTGATCAAGTATAAACGCACGTTTTTGATGTGTGCAATGCATTATGGGACTAGCACATCGCATCGCATCTTTCGAGATAACACTGGGATTTGCACATTCATGTATATTACTACTATCTAATATTTATACACAGTACTTCTTTCATTCAAAAGAAGATTATATCTTTCGTGATGAACACATTTTGCTTTATACCAACAAGATATCACTGTTAGATACACGATCAGTATGTGCATCAAACTATGCTTAACGTTCGTGATAAATTATTTAATCAAAAGCATAAGAAATGCTTTTCAAGCTCTTATTTACATCGATCAATCTCGAATACAACTATGTAATTATTTATACGGATTCGAATGATTTCACATATTGAAAATCACGATCCAAGAAATCAAACGAAAATCAGAATTGTTCTCAATCAGATACCCTCGCGGAGACTATTGTTTTCCTTTAAAACTCGTTCGTCGTAAAAATAAACTATTGTTAAAGGCATCGAAATCCCGGCGTTGCGAGAAAACCCCGTCGTCGTCTCCGCTTTGTGGGACGACGCAAACCCGTCACTGGTTTTTCACCAGTTTTAATTCATTACAAAGAGGGTGTGACTCGGACACATACATAGGTATACACGGAGAAGGAGGAGGAGAGATCCCGGCTGGACGACGAATACACAAAGTAAAATCCTTTCTCTCTCCCTCTTCCTCTCCCTACTGATCGTCTACTATCCCTTCCACTCTATTCCTCTCTCTCGTCTCGCACGAGGAGAGCGAATCGTCCGTAGCGCTCAGCACCGGCGACCCGTGCACACGCCGTCCGCACACATTCTTTATATATAATTTCGCGTTAATCTACGCGACGACCAGCGCAAAAGCGAGTCATGCCGCAAAGTGAGGCAAAAAGGTTCCACTTGGCTGAGCGTGAAACGGGACACAGATTAAATCCCATCCTGCCGGCGCACGACGTCGCGGCACCCTTCCTCTTCGTCCAACTTCCCTCCCCGCTACGCCATCGGCCCCCTCTTATGCCACCCTACCTTCCATCACACTCCCTCGCAGCGCGGTCCCCTACCCCTCTACCTACACCGTGGCCGACCTCCCTCGCCAAACAACCTCTGAACCTACCGTTCCTAACGCTACCGCCCTAGACAAGAGGGGTAGGGGCCAGTGGGAAAATTCTGCCATTTCGTTCTCTTTAAGCGCAGAAATACTTGTCTGCTGTATAAATACATTCTTCGTGCCGATTAATACCATTTTCACTTGTTTTGCACTTTGTGGTAACTTTTCGTTTGTTTCTAGCTTAACACGATGTGTAAATAGTGTTGAACTACTACTAGAAGTGTGTTGAGTATAGTATTAGAAAGAATTGAATTCCCGATATAGATAAATATGATATATAATATCATAAAAACTGTACCGATGATGCTATATGATTTAGCAGATTTATAGATAGATATTTCTAATGATGCACATTCAAGATTTATCCTATTAGATAATGCTGGCAGATGTGCACCTAATTGCTCAATAAAAATAGCAACAATGTGGAAAATTATGTGAAAAATGATTTAGATTCAAAAAATACTTGCCTTATATTATATAAGATGTACATTTCGTTTGCACGCGCTCTCGTTGATAGGTTAAGACGCACAATAAACGATAACTGATCATATGATGATGATGATGTTATTTTTGTACACTTCTTCTCAGTCATTCTCACTAAACTATTTTACCAATAACGTATTCGTAACATACATAAAATCTATATTCCGTTTACAATTCCGTTCTTTATTTCTATTACACAATTTCTATTAACAATAAATGATGAAACACACGACATTAATAGTTACTCGTAAACCGTCGCGTCGGTAACTTTGCGCCGAAACATTTTCCCATTAGCGACTAGCGCTACACGAAAGGTGGCGAATTAACGAATTTCCAACTGAAAAATGGCGGTGTTTATATACGTGCACTCGTAAATAATGCAATATAGAACAGTATAAATGGTATGTTTCCCCAAGAGAAACAACAAAACGATCAGCAACGGCTGCTGGAAAGGAACGATTGATTGTTATCCGATAATAGAAACAAAACAGGCCAGCGAACCGGCTAATACGCCACTTCAATTCCCAACGATGACAGAAAGTTTACGTTACGATGTTTGTTTAATGGAATGCAATAATATTACGCGGGTAATTAGCCAGTGCATTTTCAAGTGTCATCTTTTCGAATGTAAAAAGTTTCGTGATTGGTTCTCTTCATGCTCGAAGACCGTCGCATACAGAGAATTCGATATGACGATACTTCTGATGTGAATGCTACTATTCTCGTTAGAAACATATACTCCTCGAGTAACTAATTTCTAGAACGGTCCGAAAAAGTTATGAAGTACTTTTCAAAATGCATCGCGTCGCTTCGTACATCCAAATGGGTTGAAAGACATTTGTTTTGAGATATTTTTTTTATCTTTTATAAAGTTGAACATTGAAATGTGAATATTGTAAAAGGTAATTATCGTCAATATAAGATAATTAATTATAAGTAAAAATCAGAGAAACAATGTGCAAAAACAGTTGAATTTTGAAAATGAAAATCAATTTTCTTTGTTTTTTCAAGGTGTTCGAAAAGTATAACATTATTCTCGATTCCAGAATCGCAATGACTTAACAACAAAGACTTAATAACAAACGGAATCCCATTAAACGAAAAATAATGCCGGTATGTAAAGTATTTCGGCAATGCGAAATACATTTCCCTGGAAATATTTTTCTTTCATTCATTTCATGGCATCAATGGCAAAGTAAAGAAGATAGAAAAGAAGTAGTACGGGAACAGATGGTACGATGTGTTTTATTTATTTCAAAAAGGAGGTAACACTCGTTAAACGTTATTATCACCTTGGGATGAAAGATTGAAAACGGGAGAGAAGGACGAAGATAGGATGAAGTTCACTCTGACAACTTGCTTCAAGCGTTTCTCAGGCTAAATCCACGCCACAAGGAAGCAAGAGTTTCATCTGAACGCGTCCTACCGCGACATCAAAGATGGCGTGCGGAGCACACATTCTGTAATGAGTTGAATCGCGGGTAGAGAGGCATTCTATCCGTCCTTTACTCTCTAATAGATTTAAACGTACTCTATCCCATACTCTAACCTTCTCTCAGGTGAATTCATTACAGGCAGTGTTAAGAAGCAACGTTGAATTAGGGAAAGCAACGCCATCCTAACAGTGTATACTCGTTACCACGCCTCTTATTATTAAAGCCGCGAGGCATCGGATCTTCGTCGCTTTTCACCATGAAGAGAAACCACGGAACATCACGATAGCATCGAAGTTAGTAGTCGGATGATTACACTCGTGCGTTCCTTAATTATAATTGCGAAGTCGGTGGTAATGTAATTGGTATTTAAATGCATGCTGAAATAATTTAATGTCACTGACAAACTTCTTCTCTTTTCTTTAAATGTTCTTTTTTTTCGCTTTTATTTTATTATTATTTTTTTTTGTTTTTTTTTTTAGAAAAATCGTCAAAGATTTTCGACTTCTTGATAATTTTTAAGGATCTATTGTATTAATGGACTTTTTTTTGAAAAAGTTAAATAATTAAAAAGGTAAGCTAATTTAAAATTTTATTAATGAATTCTGAAGAAAACTTCGTCAAGAAAAAAAATGATAAATAGTATAAATATCTTATTTGTATTAGTAATAGATGCTATTTTATTTTTACTAATATAATGAATAAAAATATAAGAATTATAAATATATAAATATATTTAAATATATTTATATATTTAAAAATTATATTTAAAATATATTAAAAATATATTTAAAAATTAAATAATGAATTGAATAATCATTCTAAAATAAATTAAAAATAAATTGAAGAAGTGATATAAATATAGTATATTTATTAGAATTTCAAATATTTAATTTGCAATGGTATGAGATAGATATGTTGATTTAACTATTCATTCCTTATTTAAAAATAACAATAATTTTTCTTTAATTATGTTTTTTTTTCAATTAATATTTTTTCATCAGCAGGATACAATAATAGGAACGAGAAAAAATCGAAAAGCGAAAACAGTTCCATCCATAAGCGGTGGAATAAATTATGAAACTAACAGGAAATCTCGAGATGCATTACGAGCGATATCCTATTGCCTCGCCATGGATAATCCCGCACCCTCGACATTTATTGCCCCTCGAAAAGCCAGCGCAGGTAATCTCCGCAGCTTCGGCTGGCACGCGAACCGACCGGCACACGAGCGCCCATAACCATTAACAAATCTTGTAACCTAGCACGAAATAAAGTGCTCTCGTGAATCGACCGTTTGATTCCAATAGCTATGGGGGCTGCTTTTATGGGAGCAAGATGAGAGACACGAAGGGGAACCAGAAGCTGAAGAACGAAGAGGAAGCGATACAGAATCGTGGAAGAAAGAAGAGTGTCTCTATATGTGTGCGCGCGCGCGCATACATCGTGCCACAAGGGTATTGTCGATCTCCTCTCGCAATTCTGTGATGCTCGAACGGTGCACACAACATCACGAAGAAAAGAGAGAGGACGAGTCTTCTGTGCCCGAAACTCGGGTATTATGATCATCGAACGTAATACGATATGGCCAAACTTCGGATAAACATACACGCCCCTAGCACACGGGCTGACCTGAACCTAAGACCTGCCGGTGAAATCAATTTTAACGGACTGAAACTGAAGGGAATTATCAGATTGATGCGTAGACTTGGATTTCAGTGTGGTGAAGATAGTAACTTTTGATTGTGAGAGATTATATGGAGGGATGAAATTTTTGATTGTTGAGAATGGGAACGATATAATTTCACCACCATAATTTTTTCATTTCATTGTGAAATGTTTCTCACATAATTCTTTATAAAATAAATTTTCTTACAACAAAATTTACAAAATTTTCTTGTAAAAATTGAAGAAAAGGATATGAAAATAAGTAAAGAAAATAAAGTAAAACGAATAAATTCTTGCATAATAATAATCATTATTTGCAAAGAAAATGCATTTTCATATAATTTTAAAAATTTCACGAACAAAATTTATGAACGAAGATAAAAATCTAAAAAAAAAAAGATAAATGATTATTTAAAAAATGAAAAGATAATAAATGATTTATACTATGCATCATCAAGAATTCAAGAAGCAAAGTTTAAAGATTTTAAGCAATCTAAGAACAATATTTCTTATAACCAAGTTAAAAAAACCAAGTGAAATTGCAAAAATTGTGTAAAAAAATTCTCGCAACCAAAACGATTTATACCATCCTCTAACTAATCTCACTGTTTCCATGCGCCGATTTATATCAAACAGAGGAGAAAGGGGCACGCACACGATTCAACACGAGACGAAAGCGAACAAAGAAAAGACAAATTGGCGGTGTAGGCGCTCCGCTTATTAAAGCCAACGCCTGACCCAGCCTGACCCGAAGCAATACACCCCGATTGTGCCGAGTGTTGTAGTCGGATAGGAGGGGAAAGTCGGTGGTACCGAATCGGTAGAAGCTTTTTGGGTAAAAGGCGCCACCCTTCGGCGTCGAGTCTCCGTTGAAGGGGCTGTTGGCCCGACAGAAGCCAAGGAAAGGCGTGTCGGGTTACCGGCTAACCCCGGGGGTAACCGCGAACCCCACCTAAGCCCATAAGCGTACACGTATTTGCGCACCCCTTCGTATAACTCATTGGGAAGGTCACAAATTTCGCTCGAAGGTTGCGGTGCGATCCGAACCACCTATGATCCTATGGGGCACCATCGGACCACCGTTAGCAAAAAGGTAACAAGATGTAAATTGAGACGCGTTTAGAAAGGATACACTGCTAATTAGTAGATGTTGCATGAACTTGTGTATATGGTGAAGTTATAGGAACGATTAAGGGTTAATTTCTTTTGTTCATTAAAATTTTGAAAGTATTTTGAAAGGATTTTTTAAGATATTTATTTAACTCTTACTTTGTAAATATAATAAACTAAGATGATTTAAAATAACTTGTAATTTATAAGTATTATTAGTATTGAAGAATTTATTAGTATTGATTATTTATAATTTATAATTTGTAAAATATATATATATATTATTTTTAGGAAAAACTCGTCAATTTGGGAAAGAATCATCTTTCTAGGTGGTCAAGAAGATTCAAAAATTAAGAGAAAAGCTTGTGTTCGTCGGCATTTTGTACTTTCGAACAAGCTACAGAGCTGATTCATGGAACTATACCCTTCCGTCCCGATTTGAGACAACTCGAAATCCATCCGAAGGTACGATCCATCGGTCCAACCCGATTGTATATCGATTAAAAAATCCTCGTGTCGGGTTTCACGGTACATGGTACAAAGTTGACATTAACGATTGCTGACAATACGAAAGGCGACCGACGCTCGACCGCATTGTAACGGCCTTCTATTAGCACAGTCGACGAGATACAAGAGCCGGATCTTCCAGATACCATACCTATCTGAATGACAGATAATCGGCCACCTTTCAGTTTCTTGAGGCTCGCGATTAAATATTCCACTTTTTTTTTTCTTACTTTCTAGAAAATGATCTTGTCTTCTTAACAAGTTTCAAAGATGTATTTATTTTTTTTCTTTTAAATTTTTATTTTTATAATATAACAATGAATATGAATTTTTCTTTTTATTACTTATTAACTCATATTAAATAATTTTTATTCCAGAAAATAGCCTAATGGTATAATTCACATTTGCAATTGATAGAATATGTGTACTTCTATCAATAAAAGAAAATTATAACGTGATACAAATATTACTTTCTGTGATACAATCGTTTTTTCCAATTCTTTTGAATCATGTGAAAAAGCTCGAGTAATACCGCTTGTCAGCGAAACCAAAGTAAAGAGAAGAAAAAAACTATATAAAACCTTCATGTCGCAGTTCATCGATGCTCGGATTACAATCGAACACTTTACTGCCGGTATATTTTGCAACAGTAATTCCACCAATCTGTGATGAATGAGTTTTGCGATACAGATAGATTAAGCGATGATACAGTTATAATACCTTTTATATCAATGTGGTATATAAAATGATTTTCAAAAAATCTAGAATAATATCTTTGAAATATTACAATACAAAAAGCATAAATCAATGTAAAAAAATTATTGTTATCGATATTTATATATATCTTATATTATTATATTGATTCACAATATAATATTATTCACAATATTAACAATATCAACTATATTAATTAAATTCTAATTTTTTATTTTTTCATATAAAACTAATAATCGTATAACCACAAAAATTATATCAGTACAAAATATTTTCAATATTTTCAATATTTTTTATATTATTTTAATCCCACGAGCAAAAACAAAAGATTTGTAAAAACTATCAACTAGTTTTCAATTATATAATTAATCTGTTATTAGTTAAGTTAAATAAATTAGACTAACCTTTATGTGGCATCTTCCAGAAGGGCGGTTCGGGGGTGGGCGAGCAAGGGTTAGCCACCCCCGCGCCCAACAGGGTTCTTGCCGCGTGCAGCGCCGCCGCCGCCGCTTCCCTGCTCCTCGCTGCCGTAGCACTTGGCGGGTAATCCGAAGCGCTGTCACTTTCGGCGATGCCGCCACCGCCACCGCCGCCTCCGCAAGGACGAAGGTGCAGGTTCAGTCGACCGCCGCCGACCGTGCCACCACCTCCACCGCCTCCTCCGCCGCCGCCTCCGCCACCGCCGCCACCTCCGGCCACGCTAACACAATGCTAGAAAAAACAAACGAACAATCGTTAACTATTAATTTAATCGCTCAAAACTGAGAATCATAGAAATAATGCAAATAAGTTTGACAGTAAAATAATTAAACTCTCTTGAAACTCTGTTTCTTGAAAGTAATCTTCACAAATACAATTGAGACCGTGAGAGAATAACATTAATTTCTCAATACAGAAAAATTATGCTGGAAAATTTTATCCCTAAATATGTCAGAAAGAAATATGATTAAATATGATTGATTATGACTTTTGTACGGCTTATAGAACGATTCAAAGTTTATACGATGCCTCCAACAAGAGTTTATGCATTTTTTCTATACTTTTATTAAAATTTGAAATGTCTTTTTATAGATAGAAAATAATTCGTGAGATACGTATGAGAAAATATAAATATTAAGTGAAGAATATTTCTGAAGAGATATCTTTTACATTTATTTTATATGAAATTTAGTTATATATAAATATACAAGATATAATGATGAAATTGTGTCTATAATGAGATGCATTTCCTATTCATAAATTAAAAAAATTAATTATTATGTATTACTGTAAAGCCAAACATTATAAACATTCTTAGAAATTTAATATCTTTTATGTAAATTTAACGACTAATCAAAATCTTAGAAAAAGTGACATTTTATACATAAATCACTGAAAATAGCGCAAGTAAAATAGAAAATAAATATCGCATCAGAATTTTACACTGACGGCAGAAAATCACAGGACAAGGAAGGCTAATTCATGAGATTTACAAGCAAAAGCTTGTTGATCTTTCACAGAAGTAGCTAGTGTTTATTCATACCAAACGATGCACATGCTTCCATCTTCTGTTCTAACATTTTGCATTTCACGTAGATATTCTTTATTTTGTTTTAGGCAAAGCAAACTAGTTTCATTATATCATATAATATTTTTTTTTAAAATCATACACCACATTCAAAATTCTGAAAAATTGACTGCTTTGTATGCATCTTATTATTATATATACATATGCATGTACGTATCTACAACAATTTCTTTCTAAATTCTAATATTTTTTAAATTTCAACAAGAAAGCAACATGCCTGTTCCTACGAAATTAACTGGTTGTTTTTTTTTTTATTTCAAATCTTGTTTCGAAATAATATCCCGTCTTGTGATTCTCTTTATATTTTTAAACAAGAAAAAAGAAAACGCTGTGAATCATGTTTTGTTTAAATTTCGCTTCCACATCTCGTATATCGCGGTACGACGGCAATATCTTGCGTTTCCCACTGATGATTTTTGTTAAAATTTAATTACAGAGTTAGGCAGACCATTGGAAATATAAGAAATACGTGTCAAGTGGTGAAATCCTGATGGATTAAACATGGATGAAAAAACATTAACGTTTCAGCGATTTTTTTCTTTTTAGCTTTTTCTTGGTGACTGAAATGTAATTCCAAACTCGAGCATTTGCAATTTACCGGCAGCAAGTGAAAAGAAAATACGCAAAGAAACGCATTTTCGTAGAGCTCGTTTTCACACTCTTATACTTTAAATAGTCCGATCCGTTAAGATGTTTAGTTTAAACACGAACGTGGATGCGCGCGCATCGTGTCGACATCGAGTGAAAAGCTGAAATAATTTCTTAACCTCGCGGCGACGTTTCCTCAACAATGGTGTTTGTTAGCCAAGCGGACGAACATTGAAATGTTGGTTATTACGAAATATAGTGAGAGAAAGATTTCTAAGACTACGTTCGTCGACTTTTTAAGCATTAATTAATTAAAAACGGGATATTGCGTACTGATCAAGTGGAAGGTGATTGTCGTCTATTGTGCGATTTCAAGGGCGTGAAAATTTTATGTATGTATGATGTCGTTGAGAAATAAAAGAAATATAAGGTAACGAATTAAATTAATAATTAGAAGAAATACATGGAAAGAAGAAAAAAAATTGAATATTGATAAAAATTTATTCTCAATAAAGGTAAGTTATTTAAAAAATTTTTGATTAAAATAAAATAAATTTTAAGCATTTTCTCATTGTTACATAATTAATATTCCTTTTTCGAATATCTATTAATCTAACATCGGCATAAAGTTTTCGCCCACTTTTCCCCATACATTCAATCGTAATCGTACAAGTTTATAAATTTAAAAATCCACAGGAAACGGAAGAAAAAATATCACCTCGTAAACCTGTCAAATTCATAATCGTGATGCATTAAAAAGCATGTGTTTGGAAGAGGAAAAAAGGTCAAATTTTGCATGCCGACAGGTCAAAGTTTCGCGTAAAGGCAGATCAATGTTTCCGTGTGAAACACATCGAGCTGACTATCAAAAATAACCGGCCGATATTGTTGCGAGCGATTTCATAAGCCAACGGTAAATCACGAGAACTCGATTTGATCTCTGTACTTCTGCACGCTCTTTCACGTGCCCTTCCACGCATACAAAACGGCGGCCGCTTCAAAGAACATAATTCAGGGGATTATCGCACGCGCGAAACGGGGCAAATATTGGCACTGTCGAAACTGGTTCGCCGAAAGCAAATTTCGAAGTGCACCCAGAAAATAAATAACGCCGCGGCGAATAATAAACATCGCGGTGTCGACGGTAAATTTTTTCATTTTTCCAAGCTTGATTACGCTCCGCATAAATTTATCGTTCATTCGCCGATCTTTTTCGTTATTTGAAAATTGCGATCGAAAGGCGAATCAGAAACGTGAGACATAACTAACAGAAATAATTTTTTTTGATTGACGCCAATTAGTGTGCAAACAATAGCGACAATTGAATCTTCTTGTTCATTTGAGATGGAAAATTGTGTTTACTTGTATGAATTGCAATAAGAAAATGATGAAAAGAGCTAATTTATTAGATTTTGATACATTTACGTTATGAAATAGTATGTAAGAATAAAGTAGTAGTAAACACTTGTAGTTGTAACGATTATTTAAACTCGTTAAACATTACTGAATATCATAAACACATCTAAACATTTTAAACTACTATATTGAAATTCTATTATGTTTAGATTTTGTATAATAATTTTTTTATTATTAATATTTAGATTAGAATAATAACTAAAATGTTGAAATTATGTTTTTTTATTTATCTATAAATAAACTTATAATAAATGTGCCTTTTATTTAAATTGCTAAATTAATAACAATAAATAATTAAATTTAAAATAAATACACCAGAAAATAAGAACACTATACGTTGATTACATATGTTTTCATTTTCTCAAATTTATACATCACTCATAATCATTAAATACTGAATAGATGGTAGATTAAAACAATATATATAATGAAAAGATTCAAAGAAACGAAAAGACCAAAATAAAAAATAGAAATATTTTAAGAAAACAGAAATATTTGAAGATATCAATATTTAATTCTATACTTACTCTCACTTAATTAAAATATTGCTTAATTAATAATTAAATATACCGCAAAACTTGATCTATTAAATTACATTCTAACCCATTTACAACACCAACAAAACGTCACATGATGCGCAATTCAAACGTTGATCAGCGTGTGTTGACGCACGAAATCGTTTGTTCCGTTGAAAGCAAGAAGAGCTTTTACTATCGACCGTGTAATTTAACTCTTGCACAGCTGAGATGGTTGCGGTCAGTATAGTGTTTACATCGCCGGTAATATGTTCTTTGGCGATCGAAATGCCTCGTCTGAAGGCGACTGTATAACGCACCGCGGACGCTCACCTACGCGCATTCCACCATCGCTTTCGTTCATCACGGTTAATCACGCCGCGGTTACGATGAGTGTTAATTATCATTCGGTCCGCTTCGTAGATCATTAGCTCCTTTCAACCGCGATGCGGGAACGTCACGACGAAGGGGGTCAGTGGACGCCTATAGATGATCCGACTCGATCAAAATGTGCAAGTTGTATATACTGACGTCGACTGATTATAGGTTACCACGCCACCAATCATGCGCGATTGCATTGTATCGTATTTAATACCGCATTTAGTTCAAATACTTATTTGACTACGAGTTTATAAAATAATACGTATAGTGCTTATTTATCGAGTTCGTTGCTCCTACTATAGAAACTGCTATTTTATAGAAATTATTCCAGGAAAAATTATATTTAAATTCACAGCAAATTTATGACTTCAAATCTTTACAAATTTTAATTTTAATTTAATTATAATTTTTCTGAAAGTTCAATTAAAATAGATGCGATTAATATTCCGACAATTAAGTTCGATTTTTCAAAGAAAATCAAATGACGTTAAAATAAATGTCTTATCCAACAGATTAAGATTCAATTAAACCCGCCGGCATGCTGAGTGTAAACATGCTTAAATTCTACTACAAATTAAATGAATTCGCACAAAGTTTACTAATTACTCAGTTCCTTCTTACGGCATACGCTTAGAAGAAGCTGCGACACATTAAATTACTTCATTTCGTTAGACATAATCTGAGATTTTATGCAAAAAATTATCGCGTGGCAACGTTTTTCTCGCGACGGGACGAAAAAATGAGTTTCAAAGCGACGGGGTCCATGCGTAACGACATTCTCAATGCTCGATTTGCAATTAGATACAAGAGGCAAGCTTTTCCTTTCGACATTTCCCTGTAAAAAAATTTGCGATTTCCTAGCTTCGTTAACGGGAGATCGTTAAACGCAAAGAGGATTTTTGTACATTAACCTAATGCCTGACAATTTCCAGTTCAGAAGGCATAGTAAATAAACGCGAAAATATGATCCCTCTGTTCGAGGACCGTCGGAATGCGAAGGAAACGAGCCGCGACTACTCTTGTTGAAAGCATACTCGCAACTAACTTCGTGCAGTACTGAACATCAAATCTTTAGGATAGGTTACATCTCGTTATGAACAACTTCAAAATGCATCAAGAATATGTAAAATAATATAATTGATCTTAATGATCGATATGAAAAAAAATTGGAATCATGAAAATAATAATAATTTTATGAAATTATATATGTATATATATATAGTATATTATATTGATTTGAAATAAACATCACTTTTCTGACAAATCATTAACCTCACTTATTCGTTTGAAGTTGTCCGCGAAGAGAGATCCCAAAAACGAATGAGAAATTCGTGAAAGCAAGAAGCTATAAATCTCTGTTCGAAATTGTTTAGTGACAGAATGAAATGACATATTATTCTATTCTTCTTTAAAGAATAACATTGTTGCCTGATCGATTATTTTATGATTTGCCGCTATCTCGAGCCTCTCTTATTCTTCGCGGTTTCTCTCGTTTCATTTAAGAACAAAGGCAAGCCGAATAACATATGTGATCCGTAACAAACAACTAATCGGTCCCAAATGAATTGCTTATTTCGGAATAATATTAATCTAACTGAATGTAACAAATTTCATGATAGATCTGAGGAAGTTTATATGATATGTCAAATATCATTATAATTACCAGTATCTACATTCGATTTATCTTTTTGTATATGTGAAATCGTTAGCGGTTAAAGATTAGTGTTGACAAGAAAGGTGTTCGAAATTAATAAATAATTTGGATCAGTAAATTTTCCACGACAGGCCGGTTGTCTCTTCACTCTGGAGCGCTTCAAGTACAACAAAGGGCTTCACGTGAAATCTCTGAGGTACGCGAAACCGTTTCTTTGTTGAACACTCGAGAGCAACGAGGGGACATCTGTTATTTCCCGAGATTGTATCACTTTCAATGAGCGCGCGCGATGTTTCTTTTTTCCCCACCATTCGCCCTCGCCATTCGTGTAAAAATAATAAAGGCGGACAGGTGTTCGCCGTGTCCGCGCGCCATCGAGGCCTGTGATCCCTAATTCGAGCGACGATGGCATAAATTATTCATAAAGGGAAAATTTGTTTTATTCGTTCAAAATATACTGGCACATTCGCGCACGCGGTTCCAAAATTTTGAAAGTATAATGAGATGAAAATATCACCGACAGAAGCTCAATCAACGCGAAACGACGCTGTGCGAAAATTTCAGACCGTCGTTCTAACGCTTTACAATTGATTTAACGGAATGTTGTTCTTCGAAAGATCGCGAATGAAATGAAGTAAGATCTGTTCTCAAGATACGAAATGAAACGTTTTGTTTCTATGGTTTAATATTACGACGATTATTTTAAATACTAATTACGTTTTAAAATTTAATATGATCGAAAATTATCTTATCTAAATTATAATAGAGCAGAAATGTCTTATATATATCTCTTATAGCACGAAATTATTTTAACTATATAGACTATTATTTGATGATATCATTATAACCTAACATGAAATATTACAATTAATTCTCGTTTTTCTCTGTTTCAAAAATGAAATTAAACTTTTTTCTATAATGTAATATAATATAAAAAGTTTAAAAATTTTAGAAAAAGAATACTTGTATCTAAATAATTTTGATCGAGAACTTCATGATCTCTTTTATATTAATTTCAACGAATCATCAGTGAACAACTTTAATTTCCTCCATTTCACGTAAAAGGTAATTGGAATGCTCGGTAAATGTTCATCAGTAAATAACAAAGCGTGGCGGCTGTATTATTTAATCCGTCCACGATATAGGTAAATCCGATACAATTCACTTTCAATTGACAGCGTTTTTTCCACGATCACAATAAGGTACTGGAGTGTTAACAACTATTGTAGCATGCGCAATTTATGGCTAAGCTTCATACCGTGATTTCAAATTATTAAATCTATTCTAATTTATTACAGTTTTCTATGAAAGACAATGAATGAAACAAAAATACAAAACAAAAAATTATTCTTTTATTCGTTTGAGATGAACGATCGATAATTTCATTAAATATAATATCTATCATTTACATTTATGTATATATAAAGTATTTTGTTTAAAGAATTTTTTTTGCAAATTTGAATTAAGTAAATACTATTCAGTATTTCTAGAAATTACTTCATATTTTTTTTTTTTTTATAGAAAGAAAATTAATTCATGATTAATCATAAATTAATTGCAAGAAATTAGCATTTAAAATTTACATTAAAAATTTTTATCAAAATATATAATATCGGTATTTTCGAAAATGTATTTAACATTTTTTTTCTAGTTTTTCTATTTTCTAGGAAACTAATAAATATAAAAAATTGTAATTCTTATATTTATATTATATCATAAGAAATAAAAGTTAATATGATTATTCAAAACATTTAATAATAAAATTCAATGTAAAATATTACAATATCGCATGGAAGTTACGACTTGTATTTAAAAAAAAATGATTACATACATCCATATTTAAAAAAAAATGATATATATAATGATATATAATTTATTTACAGCATATAATAGTTTAAAAATAGAATTAATTTTTATTTCATTCTTTATAATTGAAATAATTTGAGAGATATCTTTTTATCAATCCTAAATAATTATCCGTCGATTATAAATAAATCTAAAGGAAGAATTTCAAAAAATAAACATAATACTTTACAATAAAATAGTAATTGAAAAGTATATAATTGAAATTCTGTATAGCAAGAATGTAAAGAAGCAATTTTAAAAAATCTTATTTTTGCCGCCGGTCGAAAGCTCGACTAACTTCATACATATCTATGTTTTACGTAATTTTTCAAATTTTGGTATTTATTTATAAATAAATATCAACAAAATACAAAATAAATATTTAAATACTTCTTATATTTTATGATCATATATATATGTACATCATTCAATAACTAATATTAAGTAATACATTTTCAATTTTTTATAAAATATATAAAAAAATATAGAATTTATTATAACTCAACTTTTGACTATTTATATATCATAATCTTACTTCTTTAGTGGTTTATGGTTATCGTTTAACAAAAATTTTGATCTAGTGACATGAAATTTGGCTCTCTACATTGAAATTTACCGATCGATTAAGAGTAATAGACGTACCGTGTCGAGAATGGCCGTGGTCAGGCCGGATCCAGTCACTAGCTAAAAGCACAATCCGCAGCTACGTGTTTTCGCGGGATGTTCACAACACTTTTCGAACTCAGCTCGACCAGCGATACTATTCGAGCGGCTCGATTCGCCACGACTTCGAAAACAAAGCGTTAGATCTTCGTTGAAACGGTCTCACTGATCACTGAGAATTTACACAGTTTAAAAACGAAAGTGGCGCGTATTCGTAACAGAATCCACCACTATAATGTTATTGCAAATGGATCTAAACAAAGAACGCTTCTCTGGCACAGTAACGTCGAGGATCACGACGATGATGACGGCAATTCGCCGTTCACGAAAACACGAAGATCCGTGGTCAGCGATCGAGGACGAGGTTCGACAGAACGTGATAGAATGACTACGTCACGAGAACAACGCCGCTCTCTACCATCAACAGTAGTTACTTCAATGTTTCGGGTGGGCGTCTCGTTTACGGTGTTTATCGGTCGTTATCGCGGCAAACTGACCAAGGAAACGAGAAGAGGACAATTGAACGTGAGCGTCGGTGAAGAGGAAAGAAACACGTGCAACTCGAAAACAGGGGTGCAGTGACGCGTCACTGCTGCGGTGCGCGGCGCCCGATTGACCATCAGAGTCTGCCTTCCTTCATGCGAAGATCCCTGCCGCACGATTTCGGCACCCCCACCCCTTGCTCAACACACTCCCGTCTCGTACAATCTCCCTCTCTATCAGGTTCCCTTCTCTTTCCTTTTTCGCTTCTCTCTCTAACACAGCTAGGACTAAACCGACGAGGTTGCTGCGCCTCCGGGCAAAGTCGCCGAAGCCGAGGTGGCTCCGAGACCGACCAGCGTTCCGTTTCGCCTGAGCGTGTCTATGGGTGGAGCCAGTGATACGCTGGCGTGGTCGTGCCTCGCTTTACCGTTCAGCAAACGTACCGACACCATAAAGTGGGGGAAATCGAACAAGCAACACCGTGCGACGTCGCGGCGTTCTCGAACCGGCATTCGCGCCAACAGAACGGTTTCAACGCGAGGATGTTGGAAATGGGCGGTGCTTATCAGAGGTGGCGCCCTTTGTCGTTGGACCGCGCCACAGGACGCCATTGTCTGTTGGCGGCGCAGCATCGTACGGCGTGCGCGACGCATGCCGACGCCTGACGTCGCGACGCCACTCTCGCACGCAACGCCGTCGCGGCCGTCGTCATCCTTCTGCCTCTTTTCTCTGCCTTCGGCTAGCTGCTTGAATTTCAGCTCTGAGAGGTAAGTCGACGATCCGTACGTATGCGCGTGTGTTTGTGCTTCGTGTATATATGTTACTTTTACATGTGTGTTTGTGTGTGTGCGGGAGGAGGGATACGCAATGTGGGTGTGTGCACAAGATTCCCGTATGAACGTGTGTCGCACTTTTGCCACTTTATTCGTTCTCTTTTTCTGCTCTTTTTTCCCCTCTCTTTTTCTTGCCACGTATTTGTCCGTTTATTTGTCTTTTACTGTTTACCGTACTTCCTATCATTGACTAGCATTGCTTTATGTACTTTTTTTGTTTTTTCTACACGTTGCACGAACACACGTGGACTATTTTTGAACATAAAAGCAACATAAGAAAGTTTGTTAAAATGGAACGAGTGAGATTACGAAGAATGCGAGATTGAATAATATTGGTCGTCGGCTGCCATCTATTTACTACTTATATATATGCTTATATTCGCGAGGCTTTCAATATTTTCTTCATTAGTGTTCTTCGTCATGGAGTACAACTGTGATAGATTTTGCATTATCAATGTTTTATACATTCAACTAATAAAAGAATTATAATATTTTACGTCCATACAGATATCTACTTAAGTACATATATAATTGTTTTAGGAATTAAATAGTTCGCTATTTTTTTTATCTTGTATAAATCATCATAGATTTATTTACGATTCGTCTAACCTATAAATATTAAGTTTGTGATTGTGTCACGAGAAGGCAGCACGCGCGAAATAATTGTTCGAATATATACTCGATTGTATCATAAAATTATCTTTTTGTTATGAAACAGGGGTTCAATTACATTCCAATTATCTAGATATTTAATTCACTGAATTGATATGATAATCGAGATGCTAATTTTAGAATACATTCCATAAAAGGAGAAAAAATAAAAGGAAAAAAGAGAATAGAGAATTATTAATGATAATATGTGTTATAACGACTACATATAGATTTACAATAGAATCGTATATGTATTCCGACTATAAATTTTCAAAGATTGTTTTTTTTATTTGACAAGATGCTTGCAAAAGAAGAAAAAAAAACATTTTTCTAATTATATAATAATTTTCGTGCGTGTAAAAAACAATTTCTATATAATCTGACTTTTCTTATTATCATTTTTTCTTTTCGCATTATTCAATGCCGAATAATTAATCAATTTAATATTAATTATCATTTATAATCGTTTAAATATCGTTTATAACGAATAGATTTTTTTTGGATTCTATCATTTTATTAATTTTATTAATTTATTAATTTATTGAATTTTATTATTGTTTATCAAATGATCAATTAAAATATATATTTAAATTTTTTCGATGGATAACAAATGTTACTGGCACAATATTAAAAATATTCATACGTCCTAGAGGTAAAATATAAAAGTCAATAAAAATATTACATTTTAATATATTTAAGAATATTAATTAATTAAAAAAAGAATAATAAAATTTATTAAATTATCTAATGCAAATATAAAAATGCAAAAATAGCTAAAAAATTTCGATCATCGCAACTTCTAAAGCGACATCAAAACAACGTAATTTATATTTTCTCGTGAAGTAATTGCCACTTCGTTAGGAAGGGCTATTTTCCCTCTTGCTAAAGACCAATACGGTTACGGTCGCGACGTTGTCCCATGTTTTTTCCTTAAACGAGTTTAGTTAAAAAGCCTGCACGGTTTCACCTACACGTGAGTGGTCACACGCCACCCAAACTTTCCAAGGGAAGAACATCGAAGACACACCACCAAGGACGGCCGATCTCACTAGCGACGCTACTTAATACGGGTACTCGACCGAGTGTGCAATTAATCACCGATCCGTGGGTAATTGGTGGCGGGGTACGGGAATCGATCAGGGACTGGAGCATCGACGTGTGCACGGGCCATTCAACGAAAGTTCCGTCACACACCGTGTTCTGAGACATCCGGTTGAAAGTGTTTCGTTCAGAGACTACTTGCGAGAAAAAATGGACATAATGTTCGTGGTAAAATAAACGAAAATATGGAAACATAAAGAATGTATCTAATACGGTTTTTTTTTCACTAGATGAAAATGAACAAGTATCTATCAATAATTAATAACGATAAATATTTCTTTTATCTTTTACTATTACCATTGTTTGCCTTATTTTTACTAAATTTAATATGCTTCTATATATATAAAACTCTTATCGCGATGAGTTATTCCAAAATCAATTCGATTTCTCTCTTCCTTATAATACTTAATAGGTGTAAAAATATCAGAGATATATCAATAATTTTTCTTTCTTCACGAAATTAAGGATCTATTCTAATGTTGGAATAAAACTTCTTGAGAATCAATAGAATTTTCGAATTCACAATTCTCTTTAATCCATCTATAAATTATCCATAAAAATATAAAAAAAAGAAATTTCCTGGAAAATCTTTCGAAAGTGGATTTTAAATTTATATATATAAATGAAAAAATCTGTTTAATTTTCCTATCATAAGCCAGTCATAAACAGAGACTTTTCAAGGAATAAAGAAATATCATAAGGATGGATAAGAGAGAAAAATGAGATAGTTGGACGATTACCAGATAAGTAAATTAGAGTAGAACGAGTAGATGGATAGCAAATTGATATATTTGTATAATTATGTCGACGTTTGAATGACACTTTTCATTTATTTCATTCGTTAATCCCACAACTGAGCACCCATGTGAATCTCCCTATTAAAATACTCCGCGTATATATTCAGACGATACTTTTTCGTATTGTACATCTTTTTTCATTAAATTGTTTGTATCCATTTCTGTTCAACAAAAACTCAAAATAACGATAATTATGTTCTTTCATCTTCTGTTACCCCTTTTCGCAGAGTAATTTGTTTCCTGGAAATGTCAAGCTGAAATGCACTTTGCCTTTTTAACAGAATAGCCATTTTAAGTAAAGTATTTACCGGTTGATTCAAACGATCCTCGTCAATATGCTTATGAGCTTTTAAATTCTATTCGTGCGAAAGTTCTAGGATCCTGGATCCTTCAGAATGCTAAATAGACATGATCTACGGTCGGTTGGAATTCGTTGAAAAATTGTTTAAGTGGGTGAAAAATGATCGGTATAAGGGGGAAAAGAAAATTTTGCTCTGATATTTTTATTTTGCAATTATTTTTTCTTTCAGTATCGTTAAAAAGATTTTATGATTCAAATTTAATTTCATTTGAATCTTTCTATAGGTACAATGATCAAAAAAAAAAAGAAAATTAAACATCTTTTTTTAATTTAAAGTTTTCATATGAAAACATCTGTAGAATTTAACTAAATAAACATTTAATTGAAAACAATAAATATTAAATAATAAATTCTTTTGAATTAATCAAAATATTCTAAAAAAAAAAAAAAAAAACTTTACTGTCTTATAGTATTTCTAATAATAACATAATCCAATAAATATCCGTTTTCTACAGTTGTCATCTTTTCTCACGATCAATTAGCTACAGGTGGAGCTTCATTTAAAACGCACTAAACGAACAGCGATCGTTCAATCGTATTTGTGTAGGTGGGATTAGACGGCTTCCGTGAAACGCGGGTCAGTCATATCGTTGTCAGAATTTCAGCACGGCTTTTTCGTCACGCCCCTCGTGTACCTTTCAGCTTATCCAACGCGTACAATTGGATTTATCAAGTTAAAGTCGAAACCGACGAGTGTGCCATACGCTCGTGTTGCAACGACGATGACACGTACTGTTGGGACGCCGACTGATCCCCGCGAAACGTGAATGTCAAACATCGAACTGGATCGGGATGGCTTTGCCGTGGAAATTTCGCGCGTCACGTGGCTAAAAGTCTGGCCGAAAAGTGTGCCAAATCGATGGTAAATGGATCGATTCCTTGTAACGCTGCTCAATCATCCTCTTAATTTCTATTCATTCGTGTGTTTATACGAAGGATTTCTTTGTATAAATCCTTCCGTAAATATTTAACTATTTTCATTCCCGAATTTTATTTGCACAAAGATTTTAAGTAAAAGAAATTTAATTCCTATCTTCGATACTTGGATCGTAAACTTAATTCTTGGAACATTCTCAATTTTTTAAGTATATTTTATCTTTTTTATATTTCTATCTTTTTTTTTAACATTATAAACGTTAAATAAAATATTACATGCATTATCTGAAAAATACTCGTCTAAAATCGTATTATAACTCGTTAAATACCGCAGCACCGAGAACTTCCGGCGTATCCACCGGAAGCACACCGTGGAGCCGTGGATCCATGCCGCTCGGTCGTATTTCTCGTATAGGATTTGCCGCGTTATTTAGGTCGAATTTTCGTCTCGCGAGCGTTCCCAATAATTAGGGAGCGAGGTTCGCCATTTACAAGCTCTCGAAGGCAAAGATATTTTTTTTCCTCCCTCGTTGCACGGTCGCACGATCGTGAATGGAAAACTGTGGTGACTCTACTCCGTGGTTGGGGATATCAGTGTTTCCGACTAGGTGAATTTCATATTCCACGGGTATTATTTGAACGATTAACGCGAATGGAAAAGCTCGTTGCTCCCGGCCGCCCTCGTATTGTTGGCAACATTTTCAACCGAAGCATTTACAATTCTCTCTTTATTGCCTTTCGGCTTATCCGGATTGCGTTGGGCCGCGACCGAGCCGCGTTTCATTCTAATAATAACCATTAAGTTAACGAACTGCAACGCGGCTGTTTGAACACCGCTGGACACAGGGATTAACGTACCATTAATAAGATTATCCGCGTAAACAATAGATTGTCCATTTCCGACCTCCGGCCATCCGATTCCGCCGGATATATAATGCGAGCCGCAGGACTCGCGGTTTATCGAAAAACTCGATATCTCGCGGATCCGTGATAAATTGCAACTGTGACGATTCGTATTCGCGATATTCGCAAAGATATCGATGTATCGATAATGAAATGTGGTGGGTTATTAATTATTGATATTCTTAGAAATTAGATTTCGAGATTAATTTTATATATATGTGGCCGACAAAAGTATATATTCGTAC